TGCTGCAGGCTGCCAAAAGACCCTTTGTGTCTCAGTTGAGGGTTCATAATGAGTGCTAGGATCTGTGGTAGCAAAACACCATTTTCTCCACTGGGTAGTGAGTGGTGGCACACGCCTTTAATCCCAGCACTTGAGAGGCAGAGGCAAGCAGATCTCTTTGAGTTTAAGGCCAACCTGATCTAACAAAGGGAGTTCCTGGACAGTCAGAGATGATACACAGAGAAACCCTGTCTTTGTCAGGGTTTCTAACCCTGCATCAAAACACAATGACCACAAAAGCAAGTTGGGGGAGGAAAGCGTTTATCCGGCTTACAGTTCAGCATTGCTGTTTATCACAAAAGGACATCAGGACAGGAACTCAAACAAGGCAGGATCCTGGAGGCAGGAGTTGATGCACAGGCCACGCAGGGGTGCTGCTTAATGGCTTGCTTCCCTAGCTTGCTCAGCCTGCTTTCTTAAAGAACTCAGGACCAGCAGTCTGGGGATAGAACCACACACCATGGCTGGGCCCTCCCCCATTGGTCACTGAGAAAATGCCTTACAGCTGGATCTCATGGAGGCATTTCCTCAACGGAGGCTCCTTCCTCTGACGACTCTAGCTTGGGTCAAGTTGACACACAAAACTAGGCAGTCCAAACCTCTCTTGAACTCACTATGTAGACGAGGCTGGCCTTAAATTCACTGAGATCTGCCTGCTTTCTGACTCCTGAGAGCTGGGATTGAAGGTTGCAGTTCCATGCCAGACCCATGGGATACATAACTGCATGGGATCAGAATTCAGACCCTTGTGTTTGCAGGCTGTATTAGTTATTTTCTGTTGCTATGATAAAACACTGAGAAAAAAGCAACTCAAAAGGTGGTTTACTTGGTTTATATGTGCACATCACAGTCCATCACTCAGGGAAGTCAAGGCGGGAATTCAAGGAAGGAACCTGAAGCAGAAACCACAGAGGGTTTACTGACTTGCTCTCCATGGATTGCACAGCTTGCTGACTCGCCTCTGACACGAGGAAACTCCAGATACCCTGGCCTCCTGGAGTCTAGGGCCAAAACTGAACACAAAGAGACTCCAGACACACCCCTACCCCAGCCTCCTAGATACTTGGTTCCTGGGAACTGTTTGGCCACAAAAGAAACTCCAGGGGGGACCAAAACCTCCCCTGTAGTCTCCAGGATACAGTTCTGAAAACTGTTGGTAACTATGTACAACAGGCCACCTGCAAGTAACAAGACAATGCCATAGAAACCACAGAATGTTCCCTCTCAGCACTGACCAATGAGAATAATGGGTACACAGGTATTTCATGCCAAAATATGATTTTGAGAAATTCTCCTAATTGTTCCCCAAATGTCAACCAATCAGAAACCAACCTGTACCACCAACTGATGTAATTCTGTGACTTTTGTCTTTAAAACCTAGCAGTAGACAGGGAACTTCACTCCCTCTGGAGGCTACATGAGCTTGCTAGATGGGGTCCCTGTCATGGTTGATGAAATAGTAAAACTTTGCTTTTGGTGGTGGTCTCTGGGGATCTTTGCGACTTGGGCACAACATGCAGCACAACGCCCACATCACACCATGGTTACCACGAGAACTGGGGAACTTTGCTGGGAGCCCCTTGAAATGGGAGCAGAGGAACAGAAATGTACTTGCTGGGTGACAAAGTGATTCAAGACACCTCCATTGTCACCTCAATCTTCAAAGGGATTCTGAGGTATTTTCCTAGGGTCACTTTGCATCTGAAGAACTGTGGCTCAGCAGTGTTCACCAACTGCTCAGAGCCTCAGAGTCAAATCCTGGCATGTCCTACTCCAGGCCCTCTCTGCCGCCACCCAGAGCCAGCTCTCCAGCTAAGCGGGTCCCATCCACTGGTGAGAGTAGATACTCAATATTTCCTGAAAGCAGAGCCAAACTAATCCAAAAGTAAGCATAGGAGAGAAGCTAAAAAAAATTGCAGGAATAATTTAGGATGCCTGCCTGCCTAACTTCTTCTCAATTGAACACACAGGAATCCAGTCAGGATTTTGTGGCAGACACGTTTACTCCTTATGTGTCAGGCACTGTGCTACATGCCTGAGGGACAGACTTTTGAAGCCTGGTTGTGTCTTCCAGATGCCCAGAGTCCTGTTGCATGGGATACAATGTACATCGCGTGTGTATACAATATGCTCATGGTGGTTACTTTTCTTACTGTTCTGAGCAACTAAATCCTGAGGAGAAGCCGCTAAAGGGAGGAAGTGTGTGTGCTCAGCTCACTTCTCCTTTTCGCTGGAGTCTGCAACTCCAGACTGTGGAACGCTGCCACCTCATGTAGGTTTCCCATCTCAGTTAACCCAATCTAGATGGATGTCTCACAGATGGCTCAAAATCCTGGCAGGGTGACCAGATCCTGGCAGGGTGACAGGGCTATCACAATGCTTTTCAGCAATACTGATAAGGTGCGAGCAAGGTCCTCAAGGAGAAAAGAGGAAAGCAGCCAGGCTGAGGGGATCAAGGAAGGCTTTCTGGAGGAGGCGCTGCCTGAGTGCGATCTTAAGAGACAGGGGAAGACAGACGCAGTTGGTATTGTTTTAAGCAACGAGAGGAACCACTCAGAGCCTAGGTGTCGTGTACACTGAGCCCATATAATGTGGCAGGAAATGACACTGAAGGGACAGATGGAGCCAGGAAATAGAAAATGAGTAACAACTCAATGTTCTGAACTTCAGCCATCAGGGATGGAGGGGGCAGAAACCAAGAGTGAAGTGTAATAGTTGCACTAGGAAGGACAGCCGAAGTGCTGTGTCTATCTGGAAGTGGGTGACCTTCCTAGGGTTAGTACACAGAACTGAGACTGGATCTGGGAGATGGAGGACAAGTTGACACCTGGGACTGTTGATAGCCAAATTAATTGAGGTGGCACACATTAATAATGAAATTGTGTTCAGCCTTAGAAGGAAAGGAGATTCCACCAGCTGTGTGATCACGGTTGAGCCTGGAGGTCACTGTGTTGAGTGAAATAAGTCGGACACAGAAAAATAAATGCTACCCTCTCTTGATTATAGAGGGAATCTAAGAATGTCTAGCTTGCTAGAACGGAGAACAGAAATAGGAGTTAATAGAGACTGGTCGTCAGGAGGGTCAGGAGAGATGCTGGTTAAAAGATTAAAAATAATATGTAAGTAATGGGCAAATATGTAAGTAATGGATAAATACATTCAAGAAGTCTAGTGAAGGCCATGCTGACCATAATTAACAGGAACATATTATATCCTCCAGATTACTAAGAGGGTGGGTTTTAAGTGTTCTCATCATAAAAACTCACTAAGGATCTGGAGTTTTTAACATGCTTATGCAATATTTTTATTTGTATATGATAGAGTGTGGCTGAGTGGATGAAAAAAGTGAGGGGTTGTTCAGAAAGTCTCCCTTCTTTCCGTTCACTTCACAATGCACAGTAGAGTGCGGGCTGGCTGTGTCCAGGCTCTCCAAAGCAGCCCCCTCCAACAGAGAACACAGGACTTGGCATGCGCCATCACTGTCATCCAGACTTCCGGAAGCCAGGAAATGGGCTTCCCCTCTGCCTTTGTTTCCTTCGCTACTTTCCCCAGCACTGTGAAAGGCAGCAGGCAGCACCCCAGTCCTCCCGAACCCCGCTTTCCTCTCCTAGGCAGGTTGGAAATACTCCTTAAATTCAAGACCCCAGCACATTTACAGCGCACACACACACACACACACACACACACACACACACCACACACACACACACACATACACACACACAGACACACACACACACACACACACCGTACCTCCCACAGCTCACTGGCAGTTCATGTTAATTGGGTGGCTGGCTGCACACATCAGAAAGACACTTTTGAATTTGAGTATTCAGGGAGAAAGTGGAGAAGCTTGGCTTCGTGAAAGACAATCGATGTTAAGTGTTCAGGCTTCACTCCCAAGCAGTAACCCCGTGGCTTAGCTGTGGTCCTGATGGCTTCTTACAATGACCGTGCTACACAAACACAAGGGCATAAGGGCGGGCACACACACACACACACACACACACTCACACACACGCAACATACACACACACACACACAAACAGACACATACACACACACATACACACACGCAACATACACACACACACAAACACAAACAGACACATACACACACACGCAACATACACACACACACACACAAACAGACACATACACACACACATACACACACACATACACACACGCAACATACACACACACACACAAACACAAACAGACACATACACACACACGCAACATACACACACACACACAGACACACACGCAACATACACACACACACGCAACATACACACACACGCAACATACACACACACACACAACATACACACACACACACACACGCAACATGCACACACACACACACACACACACACACACAACATGCACACTTATGGGCTTGTGGTTCTGGAGAGCTCCAGAAATTCACAGTTCGGCGATGTCTGTTTTCTCTGATATGTTGGATGAGTGGTGGTTCTAGGTTCCCTTCTCCCATGTTAAATTCAGCAAATTTTCTCCTTGCTTAAAATTAAGATTTTCTGACACAGGTCTTAAAGCTAGCTGGAGTACATTCTAGATCAGTCTTCAGAAAAGAATAAAAAGCTATTTGATAAAGTAGAAAACAGATGAACAAAAGAACATTAACAATACCATAGATTTACCCACAACTTTTGAGGTTATGTTTCCTGAACCAGGAAAAAAAATCACTTTATATTCTTATTTGTTGATCTATATTTTTAAAAGTCCATCTAACGCAACCATGGGAACTTTGGCTACCAAGTTAAAAGGAAGAAGAAAACGGCCTTCAATAAAAAACTGGCGTTTGCGGCTATATTTTTTTTTCAAATCTTCTCTAACGAGTATGTTTTGGCGTTACAATAAAGATAATAAAGGTTCTGTTTTCAACCACCTAGCAGCCACAGAACTGTCTGAGCGCCCATCCGCACCTTCCTTACCTGTGTCATCTGCTAGAGAAATGCTGGTGAACACGCCGTCTTCCGGCTCTGTGCTCAGCCCGTCCATCTTGTTCAGGAGCCGCGCCTGCGCAGAGTGGCAGTTGCCCTATATGCTCAGCCTTGTTGAATCATTAATTAGCAGCCAGCAGGTGTTGTCTGACCTCCACCCTTGCCAGCCTTTCTCTGCTCCTCTTGAGCTTTGTATTCTCAATCAGAAGCCAGACCCAAGTTAAAGAGTTACAGCACTTCACCCGACGCTGACGGACGCTGCTGCTGTAGCCTGGTTCCTGGGGTACCATGCCCTCAGTCTCCGGTGACAGTTTATGTGGATTGATTGCAGAAGTTGTCCAGAAAGTGCTGGGATGAAATGGAAGGGAAGAGACTGAGCTTACATGGTTGACATCTTTTGGATACCTATCAGAGACTACTCAAGGTCCTGATCGAGGAATTTGGCTGACCTGGATTAAAATCACTTAGCCTGCATGTAGCACAAGGCTAAGTCCGTTGTAAGGAATGGATTAAAAGTGACTGATACATGGCATGAAATCAATAAATGGCATTTGTCGTGTTGGAGCATTCCTGTGCATGTAGCTTGCCAAAGGTCAACATGAGATGTCTTCCTCAGTCTGTCTCATTTTTAAGGCGGGGTCTTTTACCTGGAGCCCACTAAATGGCTAGAAGGGTTAGCAAGTAGTTTGAATGTAATTGGCCCCCATAATCTCATAAGGAGTTGCACTATTAGAAGGTATGGCTTTGTTGGAGTGGGTATGGCCTTGTTGGAGGAAGTGTATCACTATGGGGGCAGACTCTGAGGTTTCCTACGCTCAGGATACTGCCCAGTGTTTCCGTTGACTTCCTGTTGCCGGCAAGATGTAGGAGTCAGCTACTACTCCAGCACATCTGTCTGCACGCCACCATGCTCCCTGCCATGATGATAACGGACGGAACCTCTGGAACTGTAAGTGAGCCGCCCCAAGTAAATGTTTCCTTTATAAGAGTTACCATGATCATGGTGTCTCTTCACAGCAAGAGAAACCTTAACTGGGACAGTAGCGAGCTCCTGGGATCTGCTTGCCTTCACCCTATGCAGCGCATGCTGCCACAGGCAGCTTTTAGGGTGTCGGGAATCCCAACTTGTGCCCAAGTCACAAGGTCCCCAGAGACTACCAGGAACCAGACCCACTAAAATGTAAAAGCAAGGTTTTAATTCTGTTGATTGCTCATCCACCCATGACAGGGACTCTGTCTAGCAAGCTGACACAGCAGCCTCCAGAGGGAGTGAAGTCCCCTGTCTACTGCTAGGTTTTAAAGACAAAAGTCACAGAATTACATCAGTAGGTACGGGTTGGTTTCTGATTGGTTGACATTTGGGGACAATTAGGAGAATGTATCAAAATCATATTTTGGCATGAAGTACCTGTGTACCCACTATTCTCATTGGTCAGTGCTGAGAGGGAACATTCTGTGGTTTCTATGACATTGTCTTGTTACTCGCAGGTGGCCCGTTGTTCATAGATATCAATAGTTTTCAGAACTGTATCCTGGAGACTACAGGGGAGGTTTTGGTCTCCCCTGGAGTTTCTTTTGTGGCCAAACAGTTCCCAGGAACCAAGTATCTAGGAGGTTGGGGCTGGGGGGGCGTGTCTGGAGTTTCTTTGTGTACAATTTTGGCCCTAGACTCCAGGAGGCCAGAGGATCTGGAGTTTCCTTGTGTCAGAGGCCTACATGTCTTTTCTGTAGCCCGTCATGGCTGCTGAAGCAGGGGCTGAGTGAGGGTCTGGCCCCTTTATTTCTAAATTATTAGAGGTGAAGTCTTTGAGTTTAGTTTACACCTCTCAGACTCAGGCCCTCAAGCGTACACAGCAGTCACTTAATCCCCCGAGCCATCGCTTCCACTCTGGAGGCAACATCCTTTACACCTGTCTTTTCCTGGTCCCCGCTACTCCACGTCCATGCACATAAACCAATCCAAAACCATTTTAGAATGTCAATCACCACTCTTCCGAGGAGGGAACAATCAGCCAAATATGATGAAGCCTTTTCAGCAAATATTCAAACAGAGCTGCTACACGCTGTTTTCTTTGCTGAGTGCTTTGATACTCAGAATTTTTCATCACTCCAGTGCATTGTTGCTATATCAAATGAAATGGGTGTATGAACTATGGAAGTTGTGTGTGCTAAAAATTAAATTCACTACGATAGAAATCCCTCTGATTTTTCAATTGCATTCTCCAAACTCTGAGTGCCTATTCTATATGAGCCCAGGAGGGCTCAAAGGAAGACCTGTTGATTGCTACCAATAAGCCCCTAAGGGGTAGGAAGTACGAGCCCTGGAGCCTGTCAAGTCTGCTGGCATTGCTACCCTTCCAGGACCATGGCTTCAGCTCTCACCTATGAAATTTTCTAAGAAGTGAAAAAAGCTGCACTGCAAAATGGAACAACCATCTTAGCGGTCAGAAAACAAAAACGAAGAAGAAAAGGGTAAGCAGGTCAAGAGGACCCCTTGCCAGAAAAGTGGATTGGAAACAGAACAGTAGCAAAAAATGCCTATTTCCACAGCTAGGCGAAAGTTCCAGAACATTGCCACAGGAAGAGCTCGAAGCTGCATTCTAACCCGCAGAGGGCAACTGGGCAGTTGGTCTTGGAGAGTTTCACAGGAGAGTAAGAACATATCCTCAGCCAGATGCAGTGGCACACGCTTTTAATCCCAGGACTCAGGAGGCAGAGGCGCTCTGTTCACCCAGCCCTTCCAGTGTGCCCTATTTTGTTTTGTATAATGATATATTCTTTGCCTGCATATAATGTAAGCCCTGCATGGATATAATGCAAGGTATAGCTTTATCTCCACTAGGCACAAACTGTATTTACAAATTTAAATCTTTGCATTGTAAAGATTGACAGCTTCCAAGTCTCCAATGGAAAACTTCTTACAACCGGGAAAATGTTTTTCAAGGGTGAGCTATTCTTACCTGTTAGTGACTGTTTCCTTACTAGATATTTGCACCTTCAAAGTCACATTAAAGCACACTTGCTGTTGAAAAAAACCTAAAATCACACCTTAAATCTGACGTCAGAAAAATTGTACACATGCTTGGAACCAAGAAATTGTTTCCAATTTACATCTAAGGTCTGTAGTCTGTGTCAGTCTGTGCCAGTCAGTTCTCTAGAGTAGCAGAACTTGACAATGACTCCCTATCTATAGAGAGAAAGGATATTCGTCAGAATGACTTACAGACTGCAGACTAACAACAGCTGACTATAAACGGCAAGTTCAAGAATCCAGTAGTTGCTCAGTCTACAAGGCTGGATATCTCAGCTCATCTTCAGTGCACCTGGGAAGCCCAAGGAAGTAGACGCTAATGCCAGCAAAGGAATGGACTTGCTAGCAGGGTGAGGGCAAGTAGTCAAAATCAAAAGCTTCCTTCCCCATGTCCTTATACAGGCTCCCAGCTGAAGGTGTGGCACAGATTGGTGATGTGTCTTCCCGCTTCAAGTCCTGCATTAAAGGTGGATCTCCATAACCCAAAGATCCAGATTAAATAAAAAATAATCCATCACAGGTGTGCCCTCAATTTTGGGGTTTTAGTTCCAGATATAGTCAAGTTGACAACCAAGAATAGTCCCAGCCTCCTTGACTTGAGTCTGGTAACAGTCAACTTGTTCCTATTATTCTGACTGTTGGCTCCCTCTGGTGGTTAAGTGATGTGAACATTAATTTTGGGGTGTTCTTTAACAAAACTCTTCTAGGATTTTAAAGGACTGGGGAGATTTACTTATTCCAAGTGAATACCAAGAGATGCCCATGGTTCTGTGATAAGAGGGACCTTCTTGTCGCTAGCTCCCCAGTGCCATGATGACGGGAACACACTGCCTTTTTACATAGGTGCTAGGGACCAAACTCAGGTCCCCACGCTTGTACAGTGGCCACCGTAGTAACTGAGCCATCCATCCCTCATTCCTGACTTTGAAGTTTTTATGTTGAGGTGTCACATTGAAAGAGAAAAGTTGTGCAGTTTATAAGCTTACAAACACATAATACACACCCAGCATTCAGATCAAAAGCCCCTCGGAGGAGGAGACTGGAAAGCCCAGCTTGCCTTTTAGTGCTCTCCTCGAAGGAACTACAGGGGTAATGTGCTGAATGCACCGAGACAGGAACACAGGCTGTCCTCACTCCCAAGTGAAAATCTTTTTTTCTTGTCCCTTTGCTTGGGTGCCTTTGCCACTTTGCTCTCTCCCCAGAACAGTTTTCTGATGCCCATCTCTCCCCTCTATTCAGAACACACACTGGGTGTCCTGTGCTCAAGGCTCTGAGTGCGGATAAGTAAGTTGTGGTACTTGCCCCTCAGAAACTTGAAGATTAGTTGAAGTGAAATCAAAGATAGGAAATGGGTAACTAATCTAATGGCTAAGGATGGCGGTAGCAAGAATTAGCAGTACACCCCACCCCCTTCACATGCTAACCCTTCCTCTCAGTGTGTCACCAGTGGAGGGAAACAACAACAAAAAAAATGGCTTCATTCTACCCTTCCAGATTTTCTGGCCAAGACACAAATTAAATACTAGATTTGCATGTTTTCTTGAAGTCCCACAGACCCAAGACTCAACAGAGAAAGAGTCAGACGATGATACTTACATAGTGTCTGAACCACAGAAGGACTCGGGGATGAGTGCATACCCCAAGTTATCAGAGGATACAGGGAGAACCCCTGGTGACCAATGGTGGCCTTGGTGGTCTCATCACACTCAGTCCTTTACGTTTTGTCTTCAGAGTCCCCAGAAGGAGGGTCAGTCCTTCTCGGTGAGGTCCAGCCTCTAACCTCCTCTCCTTTTCTGGTTGACAGATTCGTGGGGAAGGAACTCAAGACAACACTTGATCCTTTTGGAGATCAATCCTTTGGAAGGTCAGGAGGCCCAGGACAATCCACTACCTGGACATATGAACACAAATTTGCACATATGCGCACACACAGACTCATGCACAGATAAACATGCATTTGCATACATGAACATACAAGTGCACATATAAACATACACATAAGCAGGCAAATGTGAACATACATACATATATGGATGCATATGTGTGCATATGAACATACATGTGTGTTATAAATGCAACCATTTGTTTATATGAACACATATACTCACAC